TCTTTTAACAACTTTTTATCTACCAGCACAAATTCAGATGTCTCCCTCGTTTTCGCCAAGGGAGCCTTGAAAATGACTGACATGGTTGGAATTCTATTCCAAATAACCATTGATCCTGCAGTATCATCAACTCCATTCGCCTCCATTCGTGACGAAAGTTATTTCAAGAAGGAAGATGAAATTCTTTTCTCCATGCACACAGTCTTTCGCATTGGTGAAGTGCGAAAAATTGACAACAATCGTGCACTTTATCAAGTTGATCTTAAACTGACGTCAGATGATGATCCACAACTTCGTGAATTAACTGACTACATACGACAAGACGTCAACGGTACCGGATGGCGTCGAATGGGTCAATTGTTACTCAAAATAGGTCAATTCAACAAGGCCGAAGAACTATATATGGCACTACTAGAACAGGCATCGAATGATAGCGATAGATCATATATTAGTAACATGCTTGGATGGGTGAAAGACGATCAAGGACAATACGAAGAAGCAGTTGCATTTTACGAACAATCTCTGCAAATCTACCGAAAAACTCTCCCAGAAGATCATCCTTCATTAGCTACTATGTACAATAATATTGCTCAAGTGTATAATAATATGGGTGACTACTCGAAAGCACTTGAATTTTACGAAAAATCACTTAAAATAAGAGAGAAAGCTCTGCCTCCGAATCATCCAGATTTGGCTACTTCATACAGCAACATCGGTCAAGTGTATAATAACATGGGTGACTACTCGAAAGCACTTGAATTTTACGAAAAATCACTTGAAATACGAAAAAAAGCTCTGCCTTCGAATCATCCACATTTGGCTACTTCATACAGCAACATCGGTCAAGTGTATAATAACATGGGTGACTACTCGAAAGCACTTGAATTTTACGAAAAATCACTTAAAATTAAAGAAAAAGCTCTGCCTTCGAATCATCCCTCATTGGCTACTTCATACAACAACATCGGTCAAGTGTATAATAACATGGGTAACTACTCGAAAGCACTTGAATTTTACGAAAAAACACTTAAAATCGACGAGAAAACTCTCCCTTCGAATCATCCTGATTTGGCTACTTCATACGGCAACATCGGTGGAGTGTACAACAACATGGGTGACTACTCGAAAGCACTTGAATTTTACGAAAAATCACATAAAATCTACGAAAAAGCTCTGCCTTCGAATCATCCTGATTTGGGTACTTCATACAGCAACATCGGACAAGTGTATAATAACATGGGTGACTACTCGAAAGCACTTGAATTTTA